AGCAAGGGCAGTCGCCTCCTTCCCACCAAGGCAACGGTTTCTGCTTCTCGGAGGCATGACAAGTGTGGCATTATAGAGCAAGAAAAGTGTAAATACTATGTAAATTATTAATGTGTTTATACTTTGTATATGTTTATATGTACAGATACATTTATGTTATATATGCATGTGTGTGTACATATGTATAAATATGTTTATACATACATCATACATCCACACACACATATATGTGTTTGTGTGTGTGCGTGAATTCATTTATGTATGTATATGTTTATGTATTATCAATGCTCCATTAGCAGAGCACTGGGTTGGTACGGCTGTTGTAATTCCTCTTAGGTCAAGTAAAGTTTGTCTTTTGTTTATAAATGACATTGTCTATTAGGCAAAGCTTTACACATTTGATAATTAGTATTGAAATTCGTAAACATGTATGATTTAATCTATTTAATGTATTTAATTTATTAATTTAATTCATTTAATGTATTTAGTTTATGTATGTGCATGACTTATATAGAGATATAAACACCAACACGTGCGTGCATGCGAGTGGCAGTAGCATAGAAGAGTCACTCACCTGCTCACTGAACCGAAGACGCTACCCGAATTAAAAAGCGGATTTCAAGAAGGTCACTTGCGGAATCCTTGGCAATGCTTCTTGGTAGAGGAAAGAATCCTATGCCAGCGACCAGAAGGATGATCAGAAACCTCTTGAAGGATGGCCAATTACTCGGTACCTGAGATAAGGAGAGAGATAAAACAAAGTCTAAAAAAAATAGAGAGAAAGGTAGAGGGAATTAGAAAGAAAAGGACCAAATGAAAGAGGTGATGGAAACAAATTGACGGAATATAGAATATACAAAATGAACAAAGAGAGAGAATGAATTACTTGCACGCACACACATGTAAACCCACAAGTTCTATTAGAGTCGGAACTCCTTAATCTGAAAGTATCCCAAACGCCTTAAAGCTTTTCAGTACTGTGTATAGCACTATAATGACAGCAGAGTGGCTGAAAGATAACATACAAGGTACTTCTTTTTTTTCCTCCATGCTTCGCACTCATAATGCTATCAACATCGACAGTAATTACTATGATAATAAATATTGCAAATACTGAGAACAAAAAAATAATAATAACAAGAATGATGATGAGCAATCGCAGTGATGATGAAAACGATAATGATCCACTCAAACTACTGCAGCTTGGCACACAGTTGTTAAGCCTTAAGTTGTTAAGCCCTTAAGGGGACCGTCTGCTTTTTTTTTCGATTTTTCGATTTATCTTGCCGATTTTGATGAAACTCACACCCTTTTATTTGGGCCCCTTCCCATTGCCTGTGGTCGATTTTTTTTCGAAATCGCCCGAACAGTTTTTGAATTATTGTCAAAAAAAACGAAAAATGCGAAATTCGCCATTTTTGAAAATGCAGCACCTGGGTCAAAGGATTCAGACTTCAGAAACGGCAAGACATTCAATTTTATTTGATTTTTGCACAGAACTACCTTATATCTACAACTTGATCGAGAGCGTTTTTCGATTTCGACTTCAATTTTATTTTGTGAATTTTTGAAGTTGGGTACTTCAAGAAAAAAAAAAAGGTAAAAATTTTCTTACATTGACCACTTTTACAAGAAGTACAGGCAAAACTGCGAAAACGCTCTCGATCACGTTGTAGATATTTTTATTTTTCTACAAAATGAGCCATAATATGTTAATTTTGGACATATGGTGTGCCCGGAATCCTTTGACCCACCCCTAATGGTGGAGTTCCGAGATATCGGCATTTTGCGTTTCTCTATCTTTCCAAGGCTATCTTGATATCAACAAAACAAGGCATAAGATTAGTCTTCCTACACCATAATCCTCTATCATCTACCTGCATTCCGAAGTCTTGCGGACATTGCCAGCACGTAACGGTTTCTCAAATCTTACGTATAGTGCGGAGTGGTGGCAGTGATATGGGGGTCTATAGGCCTACATTGACCATTTTTAAAAATTTCTCAAAAATCCAAAAGAAAATCATACAGCCATTCTGATTTCATGTTTGAATAGAACTATCTTTCTACTATTATATGCAGAAGCCATTTTTGAGAAGTTGACCTTACTTTTTTCTTGGTGAATATTTTCCGAAGGTGACTATTTTAACACCCTAATAGGAGATTTTGGAAACATATGTCACTTTTACAAGAACCACGTGAAAATATTGCAAATCCTCATGGCAGTATGTAATAGAACTATTATTCAGCTACAAAATGAGCCATAATACTTTAAAATCGGACCGATTATACGTGTGCTATGCGTAAAAATATGACGGACCTAAAAAATGCGATCTTATTCCTTTTATTATGTTTACATTTTACATGACAAAATCATGTACAGAATACTTGTATTTGATATAATTATCTATCATATACCTATTATTGATGCTCTAATGAGGTTTTACAACGTATAATATTTGTCGAAAGAATAACTTTTCTCCAGTCGGACGGGTACCAAACA